AAAGTGACGAAAGAGTAATAGAGGTCGAGTGGAATAAAAAGCAGGAGGGAAAATTACAGGACTAGGAAAATGGGTTGATCTTTTAGCTATTCTTTTCAAGACCCGGGGTTCTTTTTTTAAAGTAGTAATGTATTCTTTAAAAAAAAAAGTGGGTGTGGGTGGAGCAGTGTGCCAGCTAAATGGCAGTGCAACATCACGGGGTTTAAAACTGTATTTTACACCTAGGAATGTCCTTCTCCCTTCATTATCAGATGCAAATAAGGTCTGTCAGGAATGGTATTTCCATGGCGAGGAGGCCCAGTATCCACAGGGCTATTCCAGTGTGATACCACTCCTGAAGAGCTGTTGCATTGCTTTGCCAGGCTCCAAGTTCAGCAAGATAGCCCAGAAATACAACGCCCAGAGGCTTCTATGAAACACAGCATCTTCTCAGCCTTTCTCCATATCTTCCCTCCCCTCACCGTCATTTTGAGGGCTGTTGTTAGCTTCCAGAAAAAACGGGAGTTGCAACTATTTGGAAAACCTGCAGATTATTTGCCACCATGGGTGTAGCCCAAATGAGAATAGATCAAGCTTAACAGTCTGTATAGCAAAGAGATGTGGAGGTGTAAAAAACAATTACAGCTTGCACCCAATTAGGCTCTGTAATTTGTTGCACTAATGAAACATTCATTTTAAGTGGAAAACCTTTGAAGAATACTAACATAATAATTAATATTCAGGTTACCTAGGGAACTTGAGACTTTACTGACGGTAGCTAGAAGAGCCTATGCCGAGGAAGCTAGCCAGCATGGTTTTTTTCTGAAGCTTTAAGAATGACACCTCCAGGAAGCTGCAAGATTATTTCCCCTCCCTTTCCAAGTTCCTACCAATCCTCTCTTATAACCAAGAAATCCCAGGACTTGCTTTGTCTAAAACAAGTTCGCGCTGATGTAAATCTGAAAAGGGAGGAAGAATTCAGGTGGGCTTATAAAAAAAGGGATAACGTGGAGATGCTAGGTTATTGTAGATCCGTAAAGAACAAGAGAAATTAAAAAAGATAAGAGAAGAACAGCTGAGTTTCATAAAGGAAAGGTCTGCATAAAAAATATTTAAATTGGTTTTTTCTATGTCAGTAGCAGTAAATGTTGGAGAAGACTTTCCCTAAATCACTGGTAGTAGGATGTCATTTACACCACTTCTGGTGTAGGTACCTCACCTTTGCTAGCTTCTGTCGTGAAGTTAGATAAAACCTGCTTAGCAATGGCTGACAAACTCTACTGTGGGGCACAATAAATCTTAACCAGATTGCAAGAGCAATGAACCAAGTGTTTGCACGTGCTCCTCTGAAGGCAGCCTAAATCCGCCAGTGCTGATGTCAGCATTACAGATACAGAAGTATGTGAAGGCCCAGAAGACTGGTTCCCCAACAGAGACTGGACAAAAATCACCCAGAGAAGAGCGACTTGCAGATATGGGAGGTACTAAAGAGAACATCATGGCTTGTACTTGCCTCATGATTCCTCTTTATTTTGAGAAACACATGGGGAAATAGCACATAGCTGTCAAGAACCGCTGACCACTCCCCGACAGCAATCTAGCCAAGTGCATGCGAGCCGGCATGGCAGACCAGCTTTAGAGGAAGCCATTTGGGAAGGGAAAAGGGCAGCTCTCTGACAACAAATGGACACAGCTTGCACAGCTGCATGGCAAAGCTGAGCTAGGTAGTAGAGGGTCAACCGTGAACCCTGCACTCTGCTTTTTGTACAATGGGTTGGCAAAACTACTGTGGTTTTGTGCCATGCATGGCTGTCAGCTGTAACCCTTTTGCCAAACACAAAGACAAGTATTTCTTTCCTGCATTGCACTTCTGATTCATATTCTTGTATTTGGCCAGGATCTGCTGGGAATGCAGCTTACAAAGAGAACTGATGTGTACTCATTGGCACACATTGCTGTCTTCTAGGAACACTAGAGTCACTGGCTCAGATCACATATTCCTTCACTCCACCTTCCTGTTGTGATGGTAGCCAACAGCAAAAGCTGCAAAGGACAACACAAGAAAGCTTCTCTGAGAAATTCACTACCCCATGGGAAGCTGCTTTTGAACCTTATCAATTAGAGGTTAGTTTATGCCCTGAAGCATAAGACATTAAATCCCTTATAAATATGCATGCCTGTTCTTCAGAATTTCAGGATAATACAGAGATGTCATACAATTGACACCATGCCTGAGAAGCATGTAACTGTTCACTCCGTTTAACAGATGGGCACACAGGGAATGGAGTCAAGCAGTTTCTCTGCAGTCTAGTCAGCAGGCAGACTTCTGGTGGCACCGGCAGGTGAATATGGCATAGGCAGCTTCAAAAGCTCTCCTCCTGAAGGCGGCTAGCTGTATTACCCAGTTCCTGCTGCACAGCCTCTCGGAGATTAATTTCCTCTTCTGCAAAATGGGTATGTTTATCTACCTACTTAATGAGATTTTTAGAACTGGATAATATTTGTATCACACAATTATTATGCATTACTGACACTAGGCAAAGTTAGAAAAAGGAACAGATGTACTGCCAAGGGATTATCAATTCATTTATTTCACCACATTTCTAGAAGCTTTGTTCCCCCATAGAGATCTGTCAATGCATCATTTCTTAGCTAGAGTGTCCTTGTAAAGCTAGTTCCAGGCTCTTGTGCTTAAGTCTGATAAATAAGTTTGGGAGTGCTGTAAGCATGGAGTGTATATGGATTCAGCCAGTAAATTTTATAGTGATTCTGCTTTTCTTTTTTTTTTTTTTATTTTTTTTTTTTTTTTTTTTTAAGCCTTTATTGACCAACTGCTAAGAGCCTTGAAAGTCTCCAGTATAGTCTGGGAGCAAGGACAACTGTAATATTTTAATATCCTACTTCCAGAAAACAACAGAGAGAAGAAGTGTTTGAGAGAATGTAAAAAGAAAGAAAAGACTTACGCAAAAGCACACATCTTTTGTAAAATAATCATCTGCAATGCCCTAAACCGAAGTACCAGTCCTCGGTCATATCAATGGAAATTGTGGATGATATCAAAGCAGATCAAATTTCATAGGGACAGAAGAATATGCAGCTCTGTCATCAGAATTGCAGCATGGGTTGTGCACACACAGACTAGCCTCTAGCTAGTTTGGATGTTAAAAAGACATGAAACCATAAAAGCAAAGACCTTGAACATCTATTAAGTAACAAGAGTTTGTCCAGACTGTGCCGAACCATGGGCTTAAAAAAGATTGTTTTCACTTGATATTTGAGCTAAGTTAAAGCTAGCAAGCTCACCTCAATGTGCATACAGTCCATGTTTTTGAGGCGGCTTAGTGCACCCCACAGTTTTCACTTTTTAATATTTCCAGTCTGATCATGGGTTGTATAACCCACCTCAACTACTTACGACCCACACTGTTCTCTGGAAGGCAGATGGCAAGAGGAGCAGTAACCATCTTGTACTTAAAGTCCAACAGTCTCATATCTGTTTAGATAGAGGGTGTCATGTTTGATTCCCACAGGCCTGAAGATGTAGAAGTTGTCCCAGTAGAAGGGAGATTGCAGAAGCAGTGAATGAAGAAGATAAGCAGCAAGGAGGAGTGGTTACTCTGCCACTGACTCATATACCTAGCCCAGCAGAAGTGGCAGGTTGCTGGTCCATTCAGAAGGAAGTTAAAAGAAACACTGGAAAACAAAAAGCCTAAACGCAGCAGGTTGAAGAGCAGATGAGAGCAGCTTCACCTCCTGTTAACTCTGTACAAGACCTGCCTGTTCTGAAACAGAATGGGCGGCTTCTACAGCTCCTTATCGTGCTCCGATATCTCTGTGCACAGCTAAAGCCTGCCTCAGTTAATTGAAAGTTTCTTAAATCTTAACTCTGTGCGTTCTCCTGCCTCAGCTTTGGGAAACACCATTAGTCAGTTATGATACACAGTGAACACAGCAATTTATGTTGCACAAAAAGCTTTACCCCCCTGCCAAAACTACTTCTTCCAAGGGTATCATGCTGAGCATGTCAATATTAAGTTTTCAACGCTAGTTAACTCCAGAGAGATGGAAGGTAGGTCAGCTTATTTATTTTTAATGACCATGACAGAATCTTTAATTCTGATCCATGTAATAATGTAATTCAAGAGAGTACTTCCCCCTGGAGAAAACAGGGTTGGCACAGTGAAGCTGTTCTCTAAAACCAGCATGATGCATTTCCAAATGAGAGTGGAAGCTTTTCAGGGATCACTGTCCCTACTGAGCATGTACTTATGTGCCATCCTGAACAAGGACAGATGTAATCACGTGCTTACATGCTGAGGGGCATGACATGCAGCATCAAAACTAATGAGTGCCTTGGGCACTTTCTGTAATAGAAGCAATAATCTTGGGGTAAAAAATACACTGCCTCATTACACAGTCTTTTACCAGAGTGCCAGTTCAGATGGACAACATCACATTACTGATTTTTTTTTTTTTTTAAATACTGTAGGTTTTGTGTCAGGAATATTTTAATCCATTCCACTTAAGTTAGTTAACTATTCATTATAGTGGAGATAGGTGAAACGACTTCATTTGTGTAGTTCTTTTATCCTACTCAGTTTGCGCAGTTCGATTCAAATAAACAAGAAGAGCCCCAGCATCAAAAGATTAACAGAAATGCGTAGCTATGAATGAAGTTTAAAAGCAGTACAAAACTATCTTTTCAAAAGGGAAGATTTAAATTTATGGTTTGTTAGACAAATCTAAGATAAACAGTTTTTCTAAATGAGACAACAAAAACTACCTGAACTTTGTAGATTCTTCTGGTCTCCTTATCCAGGTGCAGTTCTGCAGTTTCGTGACTATGTGAAGATAATAATCTTCCGAATATCTAAAAAAGGCAACAACATCAAACACTAGAATATATATGTATGTATATTTAGAAACAGTCTCTAAAACATTCAAATGATGCATGTATTAATAATAATGTGCATGATGCATATATAATAGATCGCTTTTAGAACTCCATGACCTATTTTATTTTTGTAATTTGTAACAGTACTATCCTCATTTAATTAGCATGACCTATTAAACATTTCTTCTTAATAGTGATGTCCTAATGAACTTTTCAGAAACTTTCAAAAGTACACTGGTTTCAAACTTAAATATTTGACCATAAATATCTTGAAGTTATCAGAAATCATCTCAAGTGCAAAAGTCCAAAATAATACGAAAAAACTCTTTCTTGTACTTGGTGTTTTAAGCTTCAAAAATGGTTTGAAATGTGGCTCTTGCAAGCCAAGATGAAACATTACACTACTTATGCCTTCTCTTTCATCTACCTTATAAAGTCCCCAAAGCTCAATTCAGTCATCTAAGACCACAGACCAGCATTTGCAAGTTTTCCTTCAAATTACCTCTTAAATAAAACAATCTGTTGTTTTACATCAACCAGCACGTTGGTTACACTGGTGCATGTAACCAAAGAGCTTTCTGCTCCTTTTAAACCCTTTCAAGAGATTTGTATTTGTCCAAATGTGAAATACTTCAGAACATGTAAGTCAAACGAATGGAGACATTTCTTCCCTTATGTTAATACTTCTCCCACTTGTGCTTGGATCCTTTTTTAAAAAAGTCAGTAATTATGACTTATAAGGAGAGTTGGGGGAATGCGAATAAGAGACGATATGGATGCCACGACCACAAATTCTATGAGACTCGTGTCTCCAGAAAAGACCCATCTTGTATTGTTTTAGCATAAATGGCTTAGCATTGGCCCAAAACCAAACGATCGTGAGTTTATTTAAGCTGGATCTTAGAAGTGTGTATTTTGAACAGTTTTACAAGAGTTGGGATGGCAAGAAACCTTACTTGTTTTTAAATGGAGCATGAGAATTGATAAAAAGGAATATAAAAAAAGCTGTGGTGGCTTGCAGCACCAGAGGTCAACAACCCAAAAGCTTCCTTCTCTCTCTGCATTCAACACGCTTTTAGTACCACAGCTTTATGGTAAACATTTGAAAAATAAAAGATCCCTTTTTTGTTTGCTTCATAAAAGTACTGCAACTGCTAAAGTTAACTTTACCCCCGAGTAAAATCACATCCCATTTCCACATGGAAAAAGAAGTGGAATTTAAGAGGAATACTGCATTAGAACTGGTCTTTGGCTCAAGTCTGCACCTGCAACATGTACGATTTTCGTTCTCCAGACTTAGCAAACTCTTATAGGACCTAGATGATTGTGACTAAACTGATTTTAATGGGCCCTTGCACAACTCAAGAGAG